CATGTTTTTCTCTAGCGTGGTGGGATGGGAACCCTGTGTGTCGCCTACGACAAGACCGGGATATTCATAAGTACCCGCTCGCGGGGAAATAACTGCTCTTTTCTTATAACAGGTATCGAAGACCCATACACGCCTTTCTCTGGCGTAGTGGGGACAAAGATTTCACGGCCGCGGTGTCCTCGTACGAGGGCACCTACTGTACAAGCTTTTCTCTCGCGTGGCGGGAGGCCCAGGTTTTCCTCAGTTTTCTCCTATACAGGGGAGTCGCCGGGAGGCTGCCGAAATTTTGGGTGAATATATGAACGCACTCGGATCTGATTTGAACTCAAAAGAACAAGGACCTGGATTCAAATGAGCATGAACAATGACTTGTGGACCTTTGAACTTGATTGAGCACGAGTAGGGGACCTATGAAATGAATTTAAATGAATTCAAATCTAATTAAACTTGAACAAGACTCGGACTCGAGTGAATTCAAACTTGAACTCAATTTGAAAATGAGATGAATTAGACAAGATCACTTGAACTTGCACTCTGAACTCAAACTAGAGCAAGATGTGGACAATAAGAACTTGTGCACTTGAACTGTACAACACCAAGTGAAACTTAGATTTGCAAGCATTAGACTCAAATCCGGATGAACTCAATATGATAGTAAAAAACTTGAACAAAACTTTGGAGCGCACGAAGACTTGAATAAGAGCCCGAACTTTCAAGAAACTCGGTCTTGCATTTTATTTGATATCAAATAAGATGAACAAGACTTTGAACAAAGATTTGAGCTTGTACATTTGAACTCAGACTTGAACTCAAGCTAAAATAAATATGCAAGGATTTGTGCCAAGACTTGCAAATCCAAACGTTAATTGAACATCTGGACTTGAATCAAACTCGAACAACAAAAGACTTGTCGTATTCAACGTGGCTCATCTACGAGCGACAAAAGAATCAAATATGTAACGGGCTAGCAATAAAGGTGTATTCGAAGAATCCAAAGCAAATGCAGTCTTTGCACAAACAATATCATTTGATTATAAGTGAGTGCCTCGCTCTCCTACAAGACATATGACGAATCAAGATACGAGCAAGTACACTACAAGACCTCAATGTGTACGAACAAAGAACGTTGTGGACCCTTACAACCGTTTCCACGAGATCAGGTGCAACGTGCTTACAAGGACAACAAATGATTGCAAAAAGCATACGTGTGTCCTACATGCGCTATTGATATCACTAACACATTCAGTGTTACTTGTTGATTGAAGAAGGTGACACTAGAGATCAATAGTGGAGGACCCGTCCCTACAAACAAATGCAATCATCAAAACCACCTGAGATTGGTGAAAGGTGGATATGATGAAGGCGACAATAGCTCTTCTACGAACACTTCCAGAAGGTCGTAGTGGATACAACGGGTCCCTGTAAATGAACACGAGTTACTTGTGGATAACAATAGTGGGTATATCGTAAGTACAACGAACCCTTGTGGACACAAGTACAGATGTCACCTACGACAACGGTGACCAAGATCTACGAGTATGTCGGGTAAAAGGGCAACTCGGTGTATGGAGAAGGACACCATCTAGCAGAAGGGAAAGGATGCTTGAACAAATTAGAACTAAACTTCCTGGTGTTCCAAAGTTTCTTCTTAGTCATATACTTTAGAAGAGAACAACTATGATGTCCACAAGCACCGAAAGTAACAAATCTACTATACTAATGATCCTGAAAAGAGTCTATTTCAAAGCAGTGGTCACAAAATCTCAAGAAGAGCCTTCCCGGTGAATGAGAAAAGGGAGTGTCCATCAGAACAATGAGGTATCTCATTTCAATCAAGTGACAACGCTACGATTCACCTGTATCCAAAAGCAGGAGATTAGTTAGTGCACTATAATCCATCTACAGAAAGCAACATGTAGTGCACGACAGTCTGCCTGTATAAAGTAGCGAACAACTCAATCCAGAAGCTGCTATGCCACGCCATCGGATCTGCAACACTCGTACTAGCAGACAGAAGGCGTGTATAAGCTCTTAAATGAAATATTGTGTGTACTCAAATGACGATTACATGCACAATACAATTATTTCAGTGTATCCCATCACATGCACCATAATTTGTATACACATAGGTACATAAAGGGGTATGTCAAATCAATGAAATTCTAAAACACCCGCATGGGCCCCGGCGAGCGTGTTATTGGTACACACGTGACGTCTAGGGATGCTGCGCGGGTTAATAAGTGAATTCAAGTTCGAACTCGATCCTCCTTTGTAGATCAATAGAAGTCGACAGGGTTCGAACCTTCAAACAAATACACGGTTGTGGAGACCAGTGTATTTGTTTTATTACATTCATATTATTCTTTCAAGGCCTATAATAAAAAGAATTCACTAACAAAGGCACGAAGCCTACGAAACCTGATCCCCTATCGGCAAGTCGATGAGGTCGACAAGGTTCAAGACATAAATATCCCCAAATGACCCCAAACACCCCGATGATGGCCGTATTGAATGCATATCTCAACCGAAGGGGTCGATTCCAAATATTTCAAGAATACCACTCAAATGCCCAAAAATCCAAAACTTTCAAAAGATCATTCAAACTCAGACATTTAAATTTGAAATCAATCATTTGAAATACTTAAAGAAAAATCCATCCACCCTCCACAACAGTTTGCGAGGTGGACAAATTAAAATTTACTTCAACTCACAAAGAGCTAATGCCTAGTCGAAAATATCACTATGATCCATTCTCAAACAATCTCCTGTCAGTAAGGACGTGGTACATATTCTCTGACCGGTGGTTTTGCCGCCAAATGGCACTGCAGGATAACCGGTTATGACCCGGGGCCCTCTGAACTGAGTGGTTTTGCCGCCAAATGGCACCACTGAATACCGGTTATGGTCAGAGCCAATACGCACCTTAGTGTCATCAAATCATTGAGATATGAATCAATAGAATATAATCGATAGGGCACAAAGCCCTCTGTTAGCTAAGGTGGATTCAAATTTATCTCCTTAGACAAACATTCACCCCAGGTCTACAAGGTCCCCTTGGACGAAGCAACCCATGGCTACCGACAAGGATCCTTCTGTCAGGTTGGGTCGACTACCTCCTCTGACTAAGTAGACCAGGGACTATGATGGTCCGGGACGATGGAACCATGGGATCTTGATCGGGTCTATCATCCATTCCCCCACCATCCGCCTTAAGTGCTAGATGGTGAAATTTCTATTTTAAATATAAAACCTTCAATTTTCCAACATCCAAACCTATGCTGCTACTATATACCAGATAACTTGTATCTCTACGTATATGATTGACGACTAGCCTTCATCGAAAGTTCTCTCTCGTGATCGGGAGGGGTAATTAACTATAGGGGCTTGCGCCTATAGGAAACAAGAACTCAGATCTTAAAGTCCTCACAAAATGAGGGCGAAATCTCTGGGTAGTGTCTTACCTACAAACCCATCTGCCTTCCAAAATTTACCCCGGAACTTAGTTCGTTAAAACTCCCTCGCCGAAATGCAAAAAGCAAACCGCGGGAAGAGGTCGGGGCTGAATTTTCGGAGCCCACAGAGGATAAAACAAATTTGTAGTGGTTGTAATTTTTATTGAGGTTTCCCATTGATCTATCAATCAATTAAAGGTACATCGAGTGTTCTTTGTTTTGTAGATGTTTTTTTCCCTCATCTTTTCTTTCTTGTTGAAAACAGCTAGAATGTTCTATTTTATATGAAAAACATCACAAATTTCTACTTTTTGTTTGTTCTCGTTATGTTGCATCAACATTGAATTTTGCAGCAACAACACAATTGTGAGCGGTTTTCTATAGCAACAATAAAAACAAAGTGGCAATAACGAATGAACAAGCAACATCAACAATTACAATAAGTAGCAACAAATTAGCTAACAAGCAACAACAATTACATTAAACTTTATCCTAGTATAAATGTAAAATATAAAACAAGCTCATCCAAAAAGACTTCAAAATGCATCATTATGATGCTGTAATTTAGATTTTGACCAATTAGACTAGCTTTTAGAGCTTTGATCTTCCTCATGTCACGTCTGAATGACAATTCAATTGTGCTTATAAATTCTTGGCAACATGCTCTTTGATCTCGAATTTCAGTAGTGTTACTTGAGAATCACTGCTTTCAATTATTTCCTCATTAGAAAACTCAAACTTCAACAAATAGTCAAATACTATCTCTTTGATCCTTTCACCACCTATCGCCCAAATTGTGAGGGATGCTTCTTGTAATATTCTTTGGAATGAATGATAAAATTGATCATCCTTTCCATGATTTGATCCTCGGATCATTATCTATTTCTTTAATCCATTTTCTTCTCTAATATTTTTTATTGGTATTTTAAGGGGCTTGATTTGGTCATATTAATCACAATTGAGTTTTTATTTTCAACATAAAGTAATGTGTTTGCTTGCTTATTCTTTGTGGTTTGAATTTCTCATTATTTACTTCAAATTTAATTAATATTGCCTTATCATTTTGGTTTGGCTTTAGAGAGTTTTGAGTTTACATAGAAAGGACGCGAATTTATGTTTTTAGTGGTCGTTGGCCTTTTTTTATTTTGGATCTAGCCATCACTCTGCCCTCTTCCACTACCAAGATAAAATGAAAATAAGAAAAATTGAAATAAGATAGATATGTTGATAATTGCGACCAAATTCAATCGGAAAACATTGATTGGTTTTATTCTTTTCACTAAATTTATAAGGCGTGGCCTGCATATTTGTGGTTATGAATAGTTATTCTCTTACTTGCCCACCATTTTATTTTTTCATTTTGGCTTTGGCCTTTATACACATCTTTAGCTCATTGCAACTAGAAGTACTTCCTTTGTTATGATTTAAATTTTAAATGATTGAGGAAACTGCCCCTTCGCATGAGTAAGGAGGGCCAGGGTGAAGTCTTTTCATTTTTTTTATATGCCCAAGCTCGAAAACTTATCTTTCCTCCGAATCTTTGCTTAGATCATTTGGCCACAGCAATTCCCGCCACTATTTCATCAAGTAGCACTGACGAGAAGGAAGTGGTTAAAATCTTGGCAGAGCATGATGATCCAGAGACTTCATCTGCCCTATCATCTCATTTAAATGGAAACCGGAGCAACAATTTGGGCATTAATGATAATGAATCAGAAATTCTTGTTAGCAAGATACACCATTTGAAGTTGGATAAGAAGATAAAAAATATTAAAAAAGTCATGTCACCTTCACAGTACAAGCCCGAGAAGTGGATATTGTCCGAACAGCAACAAGAAACCAAGAGCCAGCTGAATATTGCTATTGTGAGTTAATATTAACTTTACCATTGCGATTGTTTACACTTAGCTATCACAAATCTGAATTTGCATTCAAATCCTCCTAAATCAGGAAATTAATCAAGCTGTTTTTAGGTTGGTCATGTTGACTCTGGAAAATCCACCTTGTGTGGGAGATTGCTCCATCTTTTGGGAAAAATCTCAAAGAAAGAGATTCATAAATATCAGAAAGAGGCTAAAGAAAAGGTATTTGCTTTTTTTCTAAGGTAAGTATTTATAATTTCTTTTGATTTTTTTAATTCAATTCACGCAATATATGCAATGGAAATATAATGAAGATAAATATGCATGCCGAAATTTGAAATCAAAATGATAATATAAGCTCATGCAACACCTAATTTAGGTGTATGTAGGCGTACAAGATATGTTATGCCAATTAGCGTTGTGGTAAAGAAAATAGCATAATAACATATATTTCACTCAACCATACCAACACGTTAACTTGTGAGCAAGTGGTGCAAGCTACAATTGCATGCAAATGAGTATCCTATGATGTAGTGATAACTATAAGCTATATGTTTGAACGATATCAGTAATGAACAGAAGGATTATGGTTATACTTTGCCACAAGCTATGTTCACTTAACATATTAGACACAAATCCATACACAATGTAAGTGTCTGCACAATATATGATGGTGATGAAAAAAAGTTGCTTATTTTTCCAAAATAGGAGTGATTGGGGAGGTCTAGAGGAAAAGATAGGGCAACAACTTTTGGTGAGAGGGTTGAGGGAGCTGATCAGAAGATGGGTGGTGTCTGCTGGTTGAGTAAGAATTGTCGGGATAGATGAGTGTTTTGGCTTTGTGCGAGAGAGGAAGTGTTCATGTAGGCAAATGGAGAACAAGCCGATGAGTTAGGCAGCTTGTGAGTTTGAGGGGAGAGAGATTTTCAACGAGAGAGCCCGACGAGAGTGGAGTCTCGTGCGTCTCTCAAAGAGGATGGAGTTTGGGTTCATGAATAAGATAGAGGAGGGGTAGTTTTAAATATTTTTAATTTTTTTCTTGAAATTGACGAACGGAGACAAGGATTTAGATGTGAGTGTGTTCGGTGCTGTTTTAATGCCAGGTTATGTGGAATTCCAACAGATTTGGACAAATAGGAGATTTACATGTGAATTTTATTTGAAATTTTTTCCCGAGTAATTATTTTTTCTAATAAATAAAAAAGGTGGGCTGATACTCACCAAAGAAATAATGCTAGATAGCAACCAAATCATAAACAAAGAAAAGAAAATGTTTAAAAAGGCCAAAAATACTCAAGACATGTCACTAAAAACCAAAATCACTTCCAAGTAATTTTTCAGGTATTGTAAAAACTCATCAAAGAATCAGCACAAGATGACATCCTAGCACATTTTATAGTTTAGGTATTTTAAAACTTTTTTTCTTGAAATTGATGAACAGAGACAAGGATTTAGATGTGAGTATGTTCGGTGCTGTTGTAATGCCAGGTTCAGTGGAATTCCAAGAGATTAGGACAAATACGAGATTTACATGTGAATTTTATTTGAAATTATTTTGCCGAGTAATTTTTTTTAATAATAAAAAAAATTGTTATAAAATAGAATTAGATTAATAGAGATTTAAAAAAAAAAATGCACGTTGATTTTCATGCAATTTTTGTATCGTTGAACATGTAGATTTCATGGCATTGTATCACGTATGGGTAAAACTTGAGTTACGCTTTCATGTGGCTAACAAGGCAATATGTGCCTTTTTTTCTAGGTACTTTTGATGTTCCGGAAGTGTCGTCGGTTTTGTGAACGAACGATGTTCTAGTGATTTTGACTATGATTGAGCTATTTCAAGCCTGATTCACCTAATGTCGCGTTAGTTCGCCACTCTCCTCATTATGTTCACTCAAATTGATCGTGAGACACATATGGAGGGTAACAATAACCAATACCCTTCTTGTAGGGTAAGACCGTAAGAGCACCAACATGTTTACGAATAGGCAATACAAACTCAAAAGTGAGATTATAAAGGATAACTACCTTTTAAAAGTCATCCTAGATTTGGTGGTGCAGAAGGCTAACACCAACAAATAAATTTCACGATCTATATACGAAAGTGTTTTCAAACATACAAGGTAGACTATTCGATCAAACAAGCTAAAGAGAATTAAAGAGAGTGATTTTCCGAAGAGGCATTAAGTTTTGTACTTTTGTGAACACTTGATTGCCTCTCAAAATAGATCTGATAATTAAGTACCCACCAAAGATTTTTCAGTAGTCTTCCCATTTCATTTGACATTGTATTTAGAGCCATAAGAATATTTGCAAACTAACTCAGAAGTCTTTTATCCAAAGGCCAAAGCAAAAAACTAGCTATTGTGGGTGCTTTTGGGCAAAACTTCTTAGAAATTATGAATTTTTTCTGAAGAAACTTGGATATGCTCAGAGTTATTGTAAAAATTTTAATGAAAAATATTAATTCTAGACTTATTAAAAAATTGTCAAATTTTGTTGAAAAAATAAAATTTCAGCAATTTCAGCTTTTACTAGACATTTAAAAATACCTTGAAAAAATATGCATATTTTTTAAAAAATTATGATGTTTAAAGAAGTTGAGTAATATAATAAATTAAACATGTTCCAAAATAGTTTTGTCTAAATCATATTTTTGTCATTAATTAAAAAATAAATTTGTATATTACAAAAAATTGTAATTATAAAACCATAATACCTTAAAATAAATAATTGGAAGTCTAAAACTCGTATAATTTGGAACACAAGCGTAATTCGTTATGATAAACATATTCAAAGTGGTTTTATATGAAAATATGTTTATACTCAAAGCTATCAGCCACTTGGCTGAGTGGTATTGCATATGACCTTTAAAGTGTAGGTCTAAAGTTTGAATTAAAAAACCCTCAAAATTCAACTTTTGGTCATTTGAAGTGCTAGATTTGACTTATGTTAAGAAATGTAGAGGTAGACCTAAAAACACTTGGATAGAAAATATTAGAAATGATCTTTCTTTATTAGATTTAAATGAGAATTTGACTTTTAACAGGACACCACAGAGAAAAATGATTCATGTAGCCGACCCCATGTAGTGGGACAAAGGCTTGATGTTGTTGTTGTTGTGGTCATTTGAAGTATATTAGGGGTGGTTTAAGTCTAATAAGCAATTTTTCATTTTGAAACTATTTCAACTTTCAAAATTTTCAAATATAGTTAAGCTCATGACTATATTATCAAATGAAAGAAATAACAATGACCAAAATTCATCTTCCCTGTTGTGGCATAAAATGTGAATGAGATACAAACTTTAAATAGTTGATAAACCATGACTAGTGTGCTCATCAACCTTTAGGCTTTTGGTTAATCAATTACTCGATATACGCATTGACATCAACTTAAAAAACTAAACTAATTAATATGCCTTGAATTGATTTTTGCTCTCTGAGTCTTCTTGATTTTTTCATTTGAAACCTTGTCTCTAAGTTGCATACTCATCAAGATTGCTTATTCATATGTCTCATCACTTCAATGTTGCTCCTTAGTGAATTACAACAACAACAATAAGTCTTTATCCCACTATGTGGGATCGGCTACATGAATCTTTTTTCTCCATTGTGTCCTGTTAAGAGTCGAATTCTCATCTAAATCTAATAAAGAAATGTCATTTTTAATATTTTCTAATCAAGTCTTTTTAGATCTATCTCTACCTTTGTTAATATAAGTCAAATCTAGTACATTTACTTTCCTAACCGGGTCATCGGAAGGCTGCAATTTTATGTGACCAAACCATCTAAGTCAACTCTCTCTAATCTTATCTTTCACTGGAGCTACTCCAACCTTTCCTTAGTGAATTAGCTGTCAAATATTTAGCAAATTATTAGATGACATTATACAAGATTTGTTAGTTAGCCATAAATCATAACACTCGGACTCATGAGGTTAGCATCCTGGAACTCTCATTTGTTCATTTGGCATATTTGTACATGAACTAGCTGCTAGGATACGTCAGAACTATTTCTTATCTCATTCAAATTTTATGCTGCCACAGGAAAGATGAATTTTGGTCATCATTATTTCTATCATTTGATGCATTGTGTGAACTCTCTATGATATGTCCTTAGACACTCATCTAATTAGCTAGAATGTATGACTGTAAATCTTGATTGTGGCTTAGTCTTTTTCATGTCCATATGCAGGGGAAGGGGTCATTTGCATTTGCATGGGCAATGGATGAAACTGCTGAAGAGAGAGAAAGGGGTATAACAATGACAGTGGCAATTGCCTACTTCGAGTCGAAGAAATACCGTGTGGTTTTACTCGACTCTCCGGGACATAAAGATTTTGTTTCGAATATGATATCTGGTTCTACTCAAGCAGACGCTGCCATACTTCTTGTTGATGCGTCCAAGGGTTCTTTTGAAGCTGGGATGGGTTTCCATGATGTTGGACAAACGAAAGAGCATGCACAACTTATAAGGAGTTTTGGTGTCGAGCAAATTGTTGTTGCTGTTAATAAGATGGATACTGTTGGATACTCTCAGGAAAGATTTAATTACATTAAATCCCAACTAGCCGCTTTTCTGCGATCCTGCGGATTCAAGGAAACACTAATCACATGGATTCCTTTGAGTGCCATGGATAATCAAAATGTGGTGACTTCGGCTTCTAATGATCACTTGTCTTGGTAAGTTTCCTTATGGCTGTCTGTCCTTGTACCATTGCTATTACCTAGGCCACATGCATTGGTCAGTCAGAGAGACGCAGTGACAGGATTGCTGCGTAATCTTATTTTGTTCATATTCGTCTTCATTGTTTAGTGGAGTTTATCATGCTTGCATTCTTTGTTAACAGAATCTTTGCTTGTTATCCAACAACCCCAACAACTCAAGCTGTCTGCCTTAGCAATATTCTACTGATCCTTGCATGACATTGGCTGATGAATATAGTCGTTGAATCAAATCTTAATGCTTATGTTTTCTTTTCTTCTAAAGGTTCTGGTTTGTTATTTGCAAATGAAACTTTCAACTGAATATGAGCTGGCTGTTATCATTTATTTATTTATTTTTAAGTTGAAATTCAGTTGTCTGAGCCCGGGTTCGAAGAGCTGTTAGTTATCAATAAATTAAGGTTGAAGATCAAGATAGGTTTAAATATAATTACGTTGAATACGATGGAATTTTTTCGTGGAAGAATGGATAAGCTGATGAAAATAGAACTTGTAGCATTTACGGTGTATGATCAACTGTAGAGGACCATTGTAGCATTTGCTGGAGAACTGAACGTATGCACACCCAAGGGGACCATTAGTAGTAAATACAAAAAGCTATTCATCGTATGCAAGAGTATGTAAGAAGAGAGCAAGTAAAAATTACTAGTAAATACAAAAGCTGTAACACCCCAAGATACTGATTAATAGTAACTTAGAGTACCACAAATAAAACATCACATTCATTTTTACTTTTATCACTTCTCAATAATGTCATAGTTTAAAACAACCACCAACAATTACATTTACTGAATACACGGAAGTATCTAATTAATTAAATTACATCATATAATATGTATAGAGCCACTAAGAGGAATCAAAAGAGAATATAATACTGAACATTCTACATACCTCGAATGTAGACTTACAAACATTGCTAAACAGAAGAAACATATAGTGAAATAAACTTGAATCTATTCTGCTTCAAGTTTTCCCTTTTATTTCCTGTAACAACAGTCAGTATAAAATAATTGATGAGCTACGAGGCTTAATAAATTATGCAAATTAAATAACAGTTAAATTGAATGATTATAAAACTCACAACATTGAAATCATAAATTAATCAAACTTGACATTATTTATAAAATAATATAAAATGATATTTAGCATTAACCTTACTTCCTTTGAAGTCTATATTGAATATCAATGTTAGTATTTTAGATATTTGGCTAAACTTTCATCAGCATGTTCAATGGAGCCCAGGTAAACCTGACATTATCACCATTGAACAACATAGATGTCCTTTTTGCCTTTTTAGGAATCCCTTTTACCCCACCTGCTATATAGGTATCATATTTATGGGATCCTTTTTGCTCCATTTACAATGCAGTGTCACATATGAGAATTCTTTTGCCCCACCTGCAATTACAAGTTTTACATCATTTTATAGCCAAACTTTATTAAATTGATATTCAATAAACTTCACATATTCATTGTTCATACTTGTATTGTATGGTTGCAGATTTTCATAATAGCATTGCTATTATATTGTTTGCATAAAGATCATGACATATAGTATGTACAGAATAATACTTTCTTTCAAAATGATACCAACAAGAAAAATCTTCAATTATTCATATTACATTTTATTCTAAATCCTAATCATTCAAATTTGTAAGTAGTTTTTCATACATGAACACTTGACTATGAATATACATTCATCATATCATTTTCTTTTCCTATAACCATATCCCTAAATTTTCATTAAATTCTAGTGTACATGTTTACCAAAATAACCTTGTATACTTTTAAATTTAAATTTGCATTACTTATCTCTTTGAAGATTTATCTCCTTAATTCCTCCACCTTGCACTCTTTTCCTTTTGTAAGTAACCTATACAATTCAATTCTAATTTTTCTATAACTTCCATAAATCATACTTATAATTTTTTGCATAAAACAGCTTACCTCGTAACCAGATTCCCTCCTCATATACTAGATAAATTCCTACATAAATGATTTACTTTTTCTTTCAATAACTTTTACTAATAAAATTTATCAAAATAAAGATAATTTTGTAATAAAAGCAATTCGTTTACTTTTAACTTCTTCTTTCCTCAATTTCTCTACTATTCTCCTTTAACTGAAATTCTTTTCTAACATTCATGTTTTCAAATCCTATTGTAGAAATCAGTCGCTCTTAGCCATATACCTAAACAATTCTTTGCCAATCTTGTTAAAATTAATTACAGATTTACTTACCCAAATTTGTACAATTATTTGATCTTCTGTTTGCATCCAGCACTTCCTCCTTTTGATTTCTGTTTCATAGATATTCCTTCACAACAAACTCTTTCTTCACAGCAATTTCTTCAAAGCAAACTACAGGCGATCCCTCTACAGTCCCTCACCCAATTCCTGCTAGAGTAATTCCTGCACTATGCCGATATCTTCTTCAGGACAACACTGTTCCGAACTCCCATATCCAGAAATTCACTATGCCGAAGTCTCCTACTAGGAATTTTGTCGAACTCTTCAACAGTCCCTCACCGGATCATTTCCACTGTTGGCTTGCGTGAAATCAGTGCAGATACGGAATAATAGATCACCATATAACTGGTCTTTAGAATAACTGTTCACTCACATCCTAAAAAAACATCTATTTGGTAATATAGAATTAACTAATTTCAATTAATGTTTTACTTAATATTAATGCTAATATTAATTTATTTAACATTTAATTATACTAAAAAATATTAATTAAACTTATTTAACTTTAAAAAATAATATTTTGAATTTTCATTACCTGATTTTCTGGATATTACAACAGCAGCATATGAAAATATAGAGAGAGCAAGCCACAGGCAACATGGATTTATAATTATTTGGATTCTCAATCAAGATTATAGCCAATCACTAAGCTCTACCTTGAGTGTTGCTCCATGACCTCAACTAATCTTGGTTTATTTATGGGTGAAGCACAAAACTCTTAGTTAGCCCCTTTTCAACGAAAGTGGAAGCCGTGATCCTTTAACCGGGCAAAGGAATAACTCTCGAAGGCTTGCGAGTGGTAGGCCATGAGCTTCAAGACAACAATCAGTAGGTGGAAGCATAGCATGAGAAGGCGATGCCACTATCATTGAATCACTAATGGTGATTAGGTTTTGCAACAATCATTCATAGGGGAGGCCAGTTACTTGACGCATGATGCATTGAGCTAGTTATCAAGTATTCAGGCGAAGAGAACAAGAATATAGGTGATGCATGAGACATGAGTGACCTAGAGCTGAAAAAATAATTATGCGATGTTATTCTGGCCCATTTTGTGAAATAAATTGGCACACCATGGCATTCTTTATGCTTAAATGCATGCTTCCCTTTCCATCAGAGCAAACACGGTTTTTATGACTATTGCCCAATTGAAATTATATATATATATATAGATAGAGAGAGAAAGAGAGAGAGAGAGAGAGAGAGAGAGAGAGAGAGAGAGAGAGAGAGAGAGAGACGTCTATTCATGTTGTATTATATTGTATTATTTTTCATTCATGCGGTATTCAATTGAAAAATCAAGATTGTGATTGTTCATCTTAATGTAAGCCATGATAATAATAGGTAAGGAATATCAAAGAGGTGGGCAAAGGCTACTTGGTTGAGCTGCACAATTTGGAGGGAGTTAGATTGGAGGATGAAGGGGAGATACCCCTCTTCATACAACAACTGATACAGCAATTCCAGGAGGAATTTCAGCTGCCTCAGGGACTGCCACCATCAAGGGAGCAGGAGCATGCTATCACTCTGAAGGAGGGTGTGTCACCCATCAGCATTAGATCCTACCGATATTCTCAATTTCAAAAGGATAAAATTGAGAAACTGATCAATGAGATGCTGGAGGGAGGTATTATTAGACCCAATATCAGTGCTTTCTCTAGTTATGTGTTACTTGTGAAGAAAAAAGATGATAGCTGGAGGTTTTGTGTGGATAACAGGGCAATTAATAAGGAAACTGTAGCAAACAAGTTTCCTATACCAGTAATGAATGAACTATTAGATGAATTAAGTGAGGCGGTGATGTTTACCAAGATAGATATGAAATCAGGATATCGTCAGATCATAATGAAGAAGGAAGATGTGCCAAAATATGCTTTCAGAACTCATAAATGGCATTATGAATTCCTAGTAATGCCGTTTGACCTCACTAATGCTCCAGCCACATTCCAGTCACTTATGAATAAGGTCTTTAAACCTTATCTTTGGCGGTTTGTCTTGGTATTTTTTGACGATATCCTAGTTTACAGCATGACAAAGGAAGAGCACCGGGAGAATCTGAGGAGGGTGCTAGAGCTGTTACAGGAGCATCAACTGAAGGCCAGCCTGAAGAAGTGCTACTTTGCCCAGATGAGTGTGGAGTACTTGAGCTACATTGTATCCAAAGAGGGGGTGGCGGACTGATGGGGCACTATAGGAGATTCGCTAAAGGGTACAGCACGATAGCATGGCCACCGATACAACAACTGAAGAAGAATGACTTCCTATGGGGAAAGGAGGCTACAATAACATTTGAGAGGGTGAAGAGAACGATGACTACTATGCCAGTTTTAGCACTACCAGACTTCACCCAGGTCTTTGTAGTGGAGACAGATGCTTCAGAGTACGGACTGAGAGCAGTACTCATGCAGAGTCGTCGACCGATTGCCTATTTCAGCTAGGTGTTGATAGCTAGAGCGAGCTTGAAATCAATATATGAGAGGGAGTTGATGGTCATCGTCTTAGCTATCCAGAAGTGGCGGACTTACCTAATATATAGACACTTCATAGTCAGGACGGATCAACGGAGCTTGAAATATTTGTTAAAATAGTGGATGGAGACAGAGGAATATCAAAGGTGGCTGTCCAAATTATTGGGGTATGATTTTGAAATCCAATACATGCTAGGAGTGGAGAATAAAGCAACAGATGTCTTGTCCAGGTGCATGGGAGAGCTGCAGACGATGGCAATATCGATTTCATTGATGTTAGATTGGGAGGCCATCAAGGAGGAGAGTGCTAAGGATGAGGAGTTGGGGAAGATTAGAGCCGATTTACATAAGGAAGGGAGTAGTCATCCAGGATATTCATTGGAGGGGGATCGACTGGTGTATCAAGGGAGATTTGTGATACCCCAGACCTCAGTCCACAATCTATTCTTACTCCAGGAGTTCCATGGAAGCATTGTGGGAGGTCATTCATGGGTGCTAAAGACATAAAGATGTGAGATTTGCCAAAGAAACAAATACTTAACTATGTCACCAGGAGGACTAGTATAGCCATTGGCTTTACTAGGGCAGGTATGGGAAGAGGTATCCATGAACTTCATAGATGGGCTACCCCGTTCAGAAGGATTTACAGTGATTTTGGTAGTAGTGGACATATTGAGCAAGTTTGCTCATTTCATTCCTTTACAACACCCATATACCACAATGACAGTGGCATCAACTTTCATCAGAGAAGTTGTCAAATTGCATGGGGTACCAGAGACGATAATATCAGACAGAGATAAGGTGTTCCTCAGCCATTTCTGGAGAGAGTTGCTTAGATTACAGGGAACAGTTTTGAAGAGGAGCACTGCTTATCACCCACAAACAGATGGTCAAACAAAAGTGATCAACAAAAGCTTGGAGACCTACCTCAGGTGTTTTGTATCAGAGACACCCAAGTTATGGGCCAAATGGTTATCTTGGGAGAAGTATTGGTACAACACATCATATCATTCGGCTTCGTAGATGACACCATTTAAGGTGTTATATGGAAGAGACCCGCCTCACTTAGTGCACTTTAGACAGAGCAGCACTCCAGTTTCATCAGTAGAAGAGTACTTAGAGGAGAGAGACAGAGTATTGGAAGAATTGAAAAGACATCTACTCAGAGCTCGACAAATTATGAAGAAACAGGCTGATAGGCATAGAAGGGACATCTAATTTGAGATAGGGAAAAAGGTGTTTTTAAAACTTAGACCGTATAAGCAAACATCATTCGCCAACAAGAGAAATGAGAAGCTTGCATATGAGGTCTTGGAAAAGATTGGAATAGTTGTGTATCAGCTGAAGCTATCACCAACGGCGACTATGCACTCGGTTTTTCATGTATCACAGTTGAAAAGGGTAATTGGAGATTGCACAACTAGCTTGATGTTACCGGAGACACTCACGGAGGACTTAGAAGTTATTTTGGAACCTTTAGAGATGATAGGGGTTCGCCATAAGGTAGATGGAGCTAAAGAAGTGCTTATCAAGTGAAAAAATCTGCCAGACTACGATGCCACATGGGAACCTTATGAAAGGGTGAAAAATCAGTTTCCCATTTTTCACCTTGAGGACAAGGTGATTCTTTGGGAGGGCGGTAATGTTAAGCCAGTTAAGGTGGAACCGGCTCAATCGGCCCAGCAAGGGCCGGTCCAAGTCTACCGGAGGCGGACCCATGCCGCCTCCCACTTAGCCGCCTAAAGCATTGGGGCCCACAACCCTTATTGGTTGCCGCCTAAAACGAATATTTAAAATAATATATTTTTAGTAAGGAGGGGGGCCGGGTAAGGCATAAAGGAATTTTTTTACTAGAATATTAATGCTACAAATAGGGATGAGAGGGGAAGTTTAGGGTATGCTTGGTTATTGTTCTTTTGAAATTTTATTTGGAGTCTTGGGCTCTAGAGTCATCATCTAGAGATCGGGAGAGAACGTTCCTCCTCTCGAATTGAGGATCACTTGTATCTTTTCTTGTGCTTGTTTTGATTTGATTTCTATAAAGATATCTATTGCTTTTTTGGATTACTTTTATCAAAGTTCTTGAATATTTTTCGTTGTTTTATCGATTATTGTTAGGATTGCTTGCGCCCTCAAATACTTCCCTTTAGGGTTACTTGCGAATTCAAGTATTTCTTATACGAATAGTTGCAGGCCAAATGGATTTGCATCGAGGTCGAGAACACAAGAAGCTGTTGATAAAGAGGTGGCAATTGGAGATTTCCAAGTGTTGACTTTAGTGGCAGTGAAGGGGCTCAGCTGAGAGTAGGAGAGAGGTGATAGAATAAAGTACACGGAAGAGGGGTAGTGAAGATAGGCATGCGTAAGAGCACCAAGAGATGTGAGCATAAGAGGAAAATAATTTCTTAATGTCTTTTTTAGTTATTTTTTAGGCTCACATTGATTGATTGAAATATAAGTTCTAATAAATTTATTATTGATTAGTTAGAGATGTGAGTTAATCAATAAACTGATAAGTAATTGTAACAAATTTCTAGAAAATTTGCTCTGACAAGCATTCATAGTTGCAATATCATTACTATTCACAACAAATTTGTAATCGAAATCGTCTAGCAAAATAACCCACCATTTTTTCAGGTGTCTAAATTGGGTACATCTTAGCAACAAATTATATATTTGTAGCAACATTGCTGCTAATTTCTTGGCCAATTATGCATTTCATTATTTTGGTCAATCCCTAACAAATTAATAGCCAATCAATAGTTGATTAGCTACTGAATGTTTTTTAAAATAAAAATTTCAGAGTTAATTTGTATTCTTTTAATAGTGCACATGTAGGTGGTACTTTTAGGAGGGACATTACAAACTATTTATTTCTTTATAAAGTTTGATGAACTGTGTAATCCTTATAAAAAGTGATTGAATTTTTTCACATAAAAGGATAGTAGTCTATCCCTATATTGCAAGTGTGTATGTGTGTATATATCTATGTTTTGTTATAAATTTCTATCATCATTTGCTGAACTATGAGGATGCTGAACTATGAGGAGCATGCTTCGCAGGTATCATGGTCTCTGCTTGTTGGATGCTATAGACTCTTTGTACCCTCCAGAACGGGACGTCTTAAAACCACTTCTTATGCCTGTATGTGATGTTGTTTCATCGCATTCATTAGGCCAAGTAGCTGCATGTGGTAAATTGGAAGCTGGAGCTATTCGACATGGATCCAAGGTACCATGTATGTATCGTTTGTTGAAAATTGAAATATATAATAGATATAATCTGCTTTCATATTAGACAATTTTGTTATCTATGACTGTTTTAGGAATAATCAGAAGTCACTAACAAGTTAAAGCTGCAGAACTTCATTGAACTATGAAACCTTTATTTATTAAAATCATCTGTGTTGAGTCCCTTCTTATAACAAGCTACTCATCGTCAAATGCATCGCTAAATCTTACATGCTTATTGTTAAAATTGAGAATTATACACCTATATGGTTGTATAACCACATCAATATGCAATATTCTTATACTAAACTTATCTTAAGTGAAACTAAATGAAAATCAACGGTGTTGGTAGATAAAAAGTGTATTGATATGTGTATAACCACATCAATATGCAATATTATTATACTAAACTTATCTTTAGTGAAGCTAAATGAAAATTAACGGTGTTGGTAGATAAGAAGTGTATGGATATGTGTGTATTTTTTTTTATTTAGGGGCTGTTTGGTTGTCTGAAAAAGAAATACAGTGTAAAGTAAATGCAATGCATTCTAAATACTTTGAGCCTGTTTGGTTGTATGCAAAATAAACGCATGAGAATCATTTCCCTTGTTTGGTTAGGTATATCCAGAGTAAAGTAAAAGCATTTTTTTGTAATAATTTATTTTAGCATTAAAATAAATATATTTATAAAAATAGTGTATTTATAATAATTAGTATTATTTTGTGTTATAAATTTTTTATATAATTTAATTTATTTAAACATAAATCGAATTAAGGTAAAATTTACTTCAATCAATTAAGTTATTTAAGTATCTCTGACATCCTCCGATCCAAAAAAACTCCTGCGAAGCCCTTCCAGCGCTAAACCTAGCCCTTCTAGACCCCAACCGTAAAATAGCTATGAGCTGACTCAATGAGCCTGAAGAAACATCATGTTGAAGTATGTCCGGATTGTTGTATAAGATCCCAAGAATATCAGTTATGGCTGTTGCTGACCGAATAACCTTTTCCTCTTGAAATAAAATAGCTAAAAGCAGGGCACAGATCCATACACCCTCTGTATCATCAAACTTGCCCTTTATATAGAAATTTCAGATGGAGAAATAGACCAAATATAGCTCAAGATATCAACTAAAATAAATAGTCATTTTAACATAAATGGAATAAATAAGTGATAAACGGAAATGCTTCAAAATAAAATAAAATATAATATAATGATTAATTTCCCGCTCACATTCTTAAACAATTTCAAAAAAAAAAAAAGTCGATTTTTTGTTGACTGGATACTCGAAATAATTTGAGTAAAATTGCAAGCCTCTTGAAGTCATCGTTTCTTTTGCCCAATGAAACATTTACAAGTTTCTCTAGTGCCAATAATCCCAATCATCCTTACTATGAGCAGGTTTTGCTCCTCAACACTTAGAGGATATTCATCAGATGATTCATATTCAACGATTAGTTTAACCAAAGTGTTGTGATAACTTATTTTCTCAAATTTGTGCTCGAAAGAGTAAGAAACCAGTCTTGGCCCGATAAGCCCTCCATTGATGACGGTGTCTTTTATAAGGTAACAATCCCTATCGAGCGCCATGATCTTTTCTATGACGAAGCCGTTGCCATTTATATCTGCAACAAATTAATTAAACTATCATGTAACAAAATTGATACGGAAATAGATAGATAAAAATTAATATAGTTAGAAGTTTTATGAATGATTTATCCGTGAAACTTGCAATTGTAAGGAGTGAATGATAATTCATAATAGCAACACCTGAGAGTTGCACAAGGATGATGATGATCCTTCCAAAGAAGTGATAAGAAATCATAAGATGTTCAAACAGCAGAAATGTTGAGCATTCAAGGTTAAATGAATATTAAAATGTAATAAGACATTTTGTAGTCGATCATACGGAGAAATTCAGAGAAGCAGTTTATAAATATTTTGTAGAAATCCATGAATAAAATTGAATTCAGCTACTGTTTGTTAACTAAGCAAAACTGAGAAAAAGAAAATTTTGCTAATGAAAATGAATCCTCACCGGTTAACTAGAGCGAGTATAAAAAAATAATGTTAAGGTAGAACATGAATATATAAGGTAGGTGTCAAACATGAAAGAAGCTAATTAAGACTTTGATAGGGAATTTCATAGAACCTTTGGTGAAGCTGAGCTTCTTTACGGTGCCAATTCCGCCATCTCCCTCAATAATCTCCACATTTGAAATGAAGTCAGGCAAGAGCTTCGGCAACAAGTTATATCCATCAATTATACGTGCTTTCCATAATCTATCGATCTGAACGCTCCAAAAACTCTCATCAATGAAGGAACCCTTAACCATGATGATGCCTCGACAAAGTTATAGAGAAGAACAAGTTGAGGATTTTGCTTATCTTTGAGAGATAAAAAAACTGATTCAGTAAATTGCTTCATTCAGTATGAAAAATGTGCCGCATTAGAACAAATTCAATAACAGAAAAAAGATAAGTAAAAATTCACAGATAATATTGCAAATTACACCTGTTAAAGGTTTAAGCATATGTTTATAGCATTATAAATGATATTTGTGAAAATAATTGTATGTTTGTCCATTATTTAGCTTAGGATTCACTTCCTCAAAACAAATGTTCCTCCCATGATATGGGATCAACCACACAAATCCAGAAGAATACCTCAAAACAACTAAAAGTTTGGCTCTTATGTGTTATAAAAAAGAGAAAGTTTTCCACATTCTATGCCTGGGAGCTGAGCTTTTGTGAAACAAAGCTATGGAGAGTAGGTCGATCTATTATACATTGGACATCATCTCCAGCATCAGAATGAAAATAATTAGCATTGTTCCAATCAATAAATCACATAATTCTCATTCATAACATGTAAACAACATTAATAAAAATTACAAATTAAAAAAATATTCATAACATCTCCACATTTGGAATGGTACTTGGTAAAGTTATAAGATGTTCCTTATTTATATACCAAAGGGAAAGTGTATAGTCGCGAAAGCGACTCACAAATCCAGCAACTATTGAAGCACATGTTTTAAACACAACAAGATCAAAAGTTCACTGTTTGGTTAATTTTGAGATAAACAAGTAGGTAAAACAACTGTAATGAGGTTTATAGGAAAATTGTGGCACACTAATGTCGTTCGAAGGATTGACGGGATTTGGCCGAAGAAGCACAAGAATATGTTGCTCATATCAAGTAATGATTAATTTTGTTGCTAATGAATAAAAGCTTACCAGATGCTGACCAGCAACTGCAGAACAAACCGGAACAAAGGGATAAAATGTGGCAAGGAAAAAAAGACCTTCTTAGGAATTTCAATAAACACCTAGTATTCAACTTAAAGATACAGGAATGCTACTCATGCCTTGGTTTTTGTGATGATACACCATCTACAAACTAACTACAGATTTCAGAATGTATATATACATGTTTAGAAAGAAAACAAAGCCACCGAAATGGCTACACAAGAAGCTCAAGAACAAAAAAAAATGCTAAAAAAGATCAATATACAACATTAGAATCAAATAAAAAAAGGATCACTAATTTAACAAGTTTCATGACTCTAACAAGGTCAAATGCTACATGCTTCATCAATAGGATAAATCTAGTGAAAAGAAGGGTGCAGCTTTATCTCTACACCACCATGTTTTATTTCTTCTTTTTTTTTTTCGGTTTATTTAAATTCAACACTTGATCTGTTCTGTTAAACGACTATGCTTGCGTTTCCATATGTTTTACTGATGGATTTTATTCTCTAATTGAATCTGAAGATAGGGCAAGGCACTTACAGCAGTGTGTTTAGAGCAAGGGATCTTGATAATGAAAAATTTGTTGCCCTAAAGAAGGTGAGATTTGACAATTTTGAGCCAGAAAGTGTCAAGTTCATGGCACGAGAAATAGAGATTTTTGAACAAATTCCTGTCGTTCGAAGGATTGACGGGATTTGGCCGAAGAAGCGCGAGAAAGGGAGAAAGTTACCTTCAGAAATTGCGAGCTTCTGTCCTTCCGATGAAAATGTCAAAACTTCCGATCCGACAGGCGAAGGGAACGTCGTCGAAGGAGCGAAGTCGAACAAGAACGAAGGAGCCGAAGAAGCTACTTGTGCAATCTTACACCTCTAGAAAGTTACGTTCAGAACCTGCGAGCTCCTCTGATGAAAATCTCGCAACTTCCGATCGGACAGGCAAGGGAATGTAGTCGAAGGACCGAAGTCGAACAAGAACGAACGAAGGAGCCGAAGAAGCCTCTCGTGCAATGAAGCCGAACAGCAACGACAACGACATGAGGATTTCTTCCGATGATTTTATAACCCGATCATATTGAGCGGGTTTCTAATTTGCTGAAAACACTCCTCCTAATACACACCTAATACTTTGGAGGATTTACTTTTCTTCCGCTCAAAATTAACCAAATAACTAAATTTAGTAAATACATGTATTTGTTTTACTTTACACTCCTATTTCAGACAACCAAACAGCCCCTTAGTGAAAATGGTAGGTTAGGATGGAATGTATAGCTTCTTTAAATCATTTGTTTTTGTAATTCATCTTTGTAGTCAAATTCTCTACAAATTATGACTCGAATTGTTGTATAAAGGTAGGGCAGTATGTGTTGCAATTTTGCTTGAAATCAAATGCTTCGATGACGTGACTATGAGGGGTAGGTGGACAAAATATAAATTTGTTGATACAATATATAGGATGATAGTTAAGCGGATCTTGAGTTACAAGAAGTTCAAACAGTGATTGATAGTGACCTTTCTAATGCGAATTTTAGAGAAACTTGAGATGAGTATGAGGTTTTCGAGTCAGATGGGGGGAATTTCCTGGTTGATGAAAAATTGTGCTTCTGCCATTGTGATAGCAGGCAAAGTGGTCATTCAGGAAAGATGCTGATATGGCCTTTCGCTTGCGTGTTCTTCCTTTGGCTATTTATTATATTTGTTCCATTGTCTCCTTCTATGAAGTTTGAACATCGATGCAAGATGCATACAGGACACTGAATGCAACCTAATTATAAATAGGAGACAACGGGCCATGGACAAGATGTTTTCTTTTATAATTTATTAATATAAAAGGCGTAATCAGAACATTAATGTCAATATTTTTATAAAGAAGCATCTTGCAATGAAGTATAATATTATTGTCACAAAAGAAGCTTAATAATTGACAAAAGAAAAGATCAACATTTGTTTAATTTCAATCTCAATTCAATATTTCATTCAATATACTTGATTGTCACTTGTCAGCAACACGTCAACATTAGCATCAATCATTAGACTTTGATTTGGTCAATATCAAGATTATATTATGATGTAGGATGGCTAAGGGTCTAGGGTTACTAATGCAATTTAGATTAGATACTACATGTAAACACATAAACACTTAATTTAACAAAGAATTATCACTATCAATGTTAAAACAAAAAGTATGCTTTTTTTCGTTTTAAAAGTAATTTAATAGCTAAAATATGAAATTATTCAAAAAATAATTACCGAACATAAAATTCAAGGGATGATCAATTTCATACCTCAAAAGAAAATCCATCATATTTGTTCATTAAAGTAAACTACACGCAATAGCTGAAACAAAGAAAGTAAAAATAAGAGCTAGGATTAAAATTACCCAAAAATAATAGTCTGGTCTCACACAGGTAGGAGTCTCACTCCAGACAGTAGTTTGTGAAGCACTTTATGAATGCACCTTAAAATATGATTCTTTTTTCAGTACTAAATGTTGAATGAGTTTTAAAACTTAAATGACACAATGGTTCTATTTATGGTCCACAAAGGACTCAAAATAGGAAGCTACACAAAATCTAGCCAGATTCACTCAAATAAATTTCAATTCATCTCCATGAATTGCAGCAATTAAAATCCTTCCATAAATTCCAATTTATGAATTGTTTAAGATTCCAACAAATCTAGGAAAGAAACTACACCAAAATCACGAACAAGGAGGTGGTGAGGCTACTACAGGTGAGGCTACTATAGGTAAAAATGGGAAATAGAATGACGACAATTATGTGTGAAGCTTGAGACAATATGTAGCAAGAATAGAAGGAAACAATATTAGCTAATCAGGAAAGCCATTGTCAGTGGAAAATTAGAGGTGACAAGTTGTAGAAGAGGCAACATCATGTGGGAGACTATAGCAAGAAGCAAAAATAACAATGTAAAGTGGCAGTAGGGACTTCCATATCATACTCTTTGCACGAAATGCAAAAAAATCTAAAAACAGAGTATATAATCTTTATAATAATCAAGCAGAATATGACAAATTGATGTATTTCTAATTGGACCTATCACACTTGGCATTGAAATCATCATTATCACTAACAATTCATCATCATTATGTGTTTAGTATTTACGATATTATGTTTATTAGGTAGCACCTTTGTTAAGGAAAAACATAGTTTGGTGAGATGGCGAAAAACATAGTTTGGTGAGATGGATTATTTAGATTAAACGTAATTCTTGAAACTTGCATATTGCATTGATTAAGATAATAAAAGGAGTACTGGTGAGTACATGCTAATAAGGATACATCTATCTACGTCTCCCCAAAACAAAACAAAAAAAAAAACAAAAGGGTGGAGAACTATCATGTTTACAATATCATTCCATACATCAGTAGAGCAAAAGGTAATTCAACATCATTATGCTTCCTGAAAGTCCAGATATGTCTGGACTGTCTAACCCTAATTTTGAAAAAAGAAATGCATCAAATGTGAGAAACATGTTGAGGAATGTCAAAGGCATGTCTGTATTCGACATATGTTTGATATGGACATGGAAGTCTTTTTTTAAGTGTTGTTTTATATATCTCCTGGGTGCTAGACTAGCAAAGCTAATGCTTTAGCCAAACTGGCCAAAGAGCTCTCAAAACCAAATGAAGATTTGATGTAGCTTTTAATTCAAAATAATTCTATTCCAAGTCTTTTATTTTCTCCCATGGGACTGTAGTTCAAATGGCATGACGATAGCTCTACTTTTGACCTTGTCGTTATGGGCATGACACTCTGTGGCTGTGGCTCCAATGAAGTTTCAAATTGTCCTATGAACTGTAGCTTGCGGAATAGTTTTATCTATTCAATTTGCTATTATGAATAAGTGTACATGAGATATCTCAAAGCGGTTCTATGGTTAATTAAAACAAATGCTTTTGAATGTGCAATTTTTCTTCTCCTCCCAGGATTCAATTCCTTGGACAAATGTGAGACTTTAAGAGTTCTAGTAGGGCTATCTCGTTTTACAAGGTTAAGGCTTTTTTTTGGTGTCTTTTTCTTCTCTTCCTTTCTCTCTCTTCTTCTCCTACTAATTGTTTTTTTAGTTTTTATTTGAACGTGTGATTGAATTTTTTCAAATTTATTACAATATCGTTTTTTTTTTTTCACGCAGTCTTGATCATTTATGTGATCTTCATTATCCTTAACTTTCTTGTTAATTTTTGGCTGAAGGTCAAAATATTTTTGTTTGAGTTGAATCTTATTATTGTCGGTTTTTGTAAAGTAAATTATTATTTTAATTTTAATAGCTTTTTTTCTTGTGAGCGTGTTGTTTCCTTCTTTGGTTTATTACATTTAAATCTATATTATCTATTAGATCTGCGTTAAGAATCCTAGGCCCTATAACAACCTTAAATAAGAAACCAACAATCTGAGCACTGGAATAAACAGTTCAGGCTTTCTTAATGATTATGGCTTATGCCACGATGGATAATTTGCTGTTTTATTGGAGGAAAAAGTGGTGTAAACTACTAAAGAATGGCAAGAAAATTAGGAACTCGGGGTGTTTGGTTTGTACCTAGTTGACACAAGTAATAGTTCTGAAACATTCAGAATTTTCTACACTGCTTTTTATCAGTAAAAAGTAAATGCTTCTGTAAGTGAATGGGGATCGTCAAGTACTCTAAACTCAGGGTGCCATAAATGGTTTACTTCGTTTAGCATTTGTAGGAATTTCCAATCCTAGAATTTTATTACATTGCAACTATGAAATGCAGGAAATTTATTTGCATACAACCAAACAGCTCTTAAAAAATTTAGCCCATCCTAAGATAATCAGAACTATTTCTCCATCACACAATGCTTCACTATGGTCCACGCTTTTTGTAAATAAACACTTTACAGCTTTATTTTATAGTAAATTCCTCGAGGAACTGCAGACAAATAAGTTACTTTTTCTTGGTGGAACAGTAGGTCCTTTTATTTCTATCCTCTTGATGATCTTCTGCTGTGACAGTTTGAACTACGTTCAGGTTTTAATAATGCCCTCTGGAGATTTGGCTACTATTCGATCCATAGAGCGAGATTGCCAAGCATGCCTTTCCGCTAGAGCAGGTGACAACGTGGCTGTAAGTTTGCAAGGTACTGATGTCTCCAATCTTGTGCCTAGTGCGGTGATATGCCACCCAGATTTCCCAGTAACTGTAGCAGACATTTTGGAGCTTAAGATCCTTGTTCTGGACGTCAAAATGCCAATATTACTTGGATCTCATGTAATCACCATTCATTCTTCTACAAAATTGACCCTATTCATGGTAATTACTTATGTCTGATTTTAGGGACGGTTGATTTATAGGTTGAATTTCACATACACCATGCTAAGGAGGCTGCTCAAGTGACAAAAATAGTGTCCCTGTTGGATCAAAAGAAAGCAAAGACCTCTAAAATAGCACCTCGTCTTCTAACCGCCAGGCAAAGTGCTACTATAGAGGTAAGTTGGCTTGGCAAAAATGCGTGGCGATTCTCTGTCTAATATTTTTATTTAGAAGTTTATCTTGGACTGTACCAAAATGTTAAATTGAGTAAGACATGAAAGCCCCCATCAAACTTACTGTTCCTAATGCTTCCATGCACTTAAGCTTGACCATTAAAACAGCAGTCCTAATCTATTGCATATAACAAAATCCATTTCACACCTGAAGTCTCTTAAAACTAATATAGTATGAACTTTTGAATAATAATTGCAATTTGCTACATTTTCTTGGCGGTCGGATTAATCTTTTAATAATTTGACCCTTCTTTTCTCACTGAATGTAGATTCAACACAACCATAATCAGTTTAGTAGTTATAGCATAGAGGCGGGAGCATGCATATAATATTTAAATTTGTTTATTATGTATAGATTGCATTTCATAGTATGTTGTGGTCATTCAATGTGCCATCCCATGTCTGAACCATCTTTCTCCTGGTTTGGTGACGGAATTTGCTCTTGTTTTTTTAATAGGTCTCTTTAGAAAGACCAGTCTGTGTGGAAGAATTTTCTAGCTGTCGGACACTTGGAAGGGCATTCCTGCGTTGCTCTGGAATTACCATAGCTGTCGGCATTGTGACTAGGATAATATTCGCGGATGAACAGTAGTTTTCTGTGACGAGCCGTCAAGTGGCCTTTCTTTTCGGAAATATGTGCTGCTGTGATGCATTGGCTTATTATCTTATTTTCCTTCTCAAAGACGGGTGCTGGAGCTTTCCTCAAAGACTACTAACTACTTGAATTTGTATCATCAATTCAAGAAAGGTAAGCATATTCTTTTCCTTGGCTTTTGTTGTTTTATTGTGAGCTATGCACATCATGTAAATTACAGAATTCAGTGAGTTTCTACCTTTGTTTATTTAATTGTAACTTTAGCACAATACTTTTAGTATACTGGACAAAATTTTCTAATATAAAAGTTAGCTTAGAAACGTATACCACTCTATTGCTGGTTTATTCTTTTATTAACTGATATTAATTCTAAATGTTGAAATTAAATATCAAAGCTACTTTATTTCTGTGTTTAAATTAGTACTATCTAATGTTGAAATTGCTATGAAAAATGTTCTTTATTCTGTATAATTCTCTTTTAGGAGTTTTGATTGATGTTAACTTTAGTTGAAGGATGCATCCTCTTTCTACTCATCAAATAGATGCATTTGAGGACTTCTATTTGTTGGATAGTGCTTTAGGGTCTAGGGATTTTAATGCAAGTAAATGATGTAATTATCGTAGGTCAAACTTTAAGAAATATATATTCAAATATCAAAGTTTATTAATTACCCATGATTTTTTTATATATAAACTTGAAAAGATCTAAAAGCCAAACCAAATGATATTGCATTGAACACTTAATTCAAAGAAAACAATGATAAATCTAGCCACAAAATTAGCTTGTAATTGAATTTTAACATAATATTTGATCAAATATGTTGTTTTAGGATTCTTAATACAATTAAATAATGTAATGAATGTTGATTCCTTAAGAAATAAATCTTAATAAATGAAAAACTATTAATTAGGAGATAAAAAAGTTAGTTGAAAATGAAGAGATCAATATTGTGAACCAACGAAGTTGATGGTTTACACCCATCATTTCACACCAATACTAAAGATTGTTGCCATGAATTAAAAATGAAGATAGATCTCTTTGGTTCAGTGTTGCAAGACATTTTCTCTCAAAGCGAGATCAGTTCAAGAAATCCTATTTGAGAAGTAACCAGAGACGCCTCAACCCACAGGAAGTAAAGGATGCTCTGAAATAAGTTTATTTGAGTGAATGTGAAAACCATTTAACCTCAAAGAATTTTGCAAGAAAAAGGCAAGTTTATTCTTGGCCTGCCATTCAAAATGATGCAAAAGAATTTACAAGTGGTAAAAGTTGTTAGTTATGATGAAATGTCCTACACCAGCGTAATCAACTCTATAGCTTACCAGCTTTTGATGCTATTCGCTTTATATTGGCTCAATCTCACATGCTCTCTCAATGATACAAATTATCCTGGTGGCCTATTTCATGAAGTGGGTGGAAGTTAATTGCATTGGCTTACCTGATAAGAAAAGCAGCAGTAAACTTTATCTAACCTAAAAATTCTGATGACTTGGTCCACCTCTTGCAATTATCATGGGCAATGGCTTAAGAAGCTTTTAGGCTTTTTTTGTGAACAATGACGTTAATCTTAAGTTTTATTGGCGCACCATAGGAGAATGCTACGAACGTGCTTGTCCTAATTCTGCTCAAGAAGGAAATCTCCAACAATACATGAAGTTAGCCTGGTTATTTTTTGTCCATTTTATGAGCTCGTTGATTTCGCCATCCTTAATTGCAAGGGAAAGTTTTTCTCTTATTTTTGCTTATTAAGTAGTCACCAATCTGAGATTTCGTACCTGACAGCTTGGAGGAGAGAAACGCTCTCTTTACCCACAAAAAAGTCTCGGGTGGATTCATAAAAATGAAGTGTTGCAAAGACAATCTAGGCATGCAGGGAGAAATAAGGATTTTGATGCCTACTAGGACTAGAAAGAAGAAATCTAAAGCTATAAGCTTCATCTAGAGAAAATAAAATCATAGAGAGTTTAAAGCCATACCTCTTCAACAAACATACAAACAAACAAACAAACAACTTCAAGCTTGTTTTATCCTCTTATTTTGCTCAAACCTTTCCTACTCATTTGCTCTTTAAGTTTCCCTCTTTTGGACAACTCATTCACATTCAACATGCCCAGTAGTATGCATGGTTTTAATTTGAGAAATTGGGGGAGAAGAAATATGTTTGGAAAGATAGTTTATATTTACAGGTACATTGAAAATGACACGACTTGAAATTCTATCGTGACTTAATGTTGAGAGTTGAAACTGTATAGTATGATGTAGATTTCTCTGTGTGGATCATAAAAGCTAGTTGAGATAGGCTAAATATGCATGGGAAAGTAAATATATATGGGAAGAAGTTAGGAACAAGTGTGAGACGAGACCATTATAATGCATGATTACTAAGGTGATAAGGTCCCTATAGTCTCTTGATTCTGCTCAAATTGCCACATGATGTAGACTCAAGGTGTAAACTTGAGATGTTGATTATTGCTATCATTAATTATAAGTGAGGTAGTCATACTCCATTCTAGTCTAAACTACTCAGAAGAACGTGTACTTAATGTTTGTTGCATGGGATTATTTGGTCATCGCTAATTTTAAAGTGGGTGGTTTGAATGATGCACTTGATCTCTAGATTATTTTTGTAGAGGGTGAGCCTATAGTATAGTTGTAATAACTCTGTTTTTATCTTTAGACTAGAAAAAACCAATTCAATTTTTACTTTTCCCCAATCTGGTTCCTAACATTGCTGCCTTAGGCTACTCGCTCTTTAAGTTACGGGAATCGAGTGCGAGAGAGGTTGAGAGACGAGTTGCAAGAGCGAGAGGGAGGGAGAGCTTGCAAGGAGAGGCAACGATTCATTTTGTGGGTGGGAAATCGAAGGCGTGGTGATCAATGTTGGCATCCTATGACACGAGACGTGCCAACAAGAGAGAGCAGTGGCCATGGTTGGCTGCTTCATGGTTTGGTGGCTTTCCTTATATGACGCTGGCAAGGTCGATGAAGAGGAAGTTGATGGAGACATAAAGCTAATCAACCATTGACACTTTCTTCTCCTATTTTTTATTTCTTACACCACCATTATCTCCTTTCTTCTAAGATTAGAAGCTTGAAAGAGGTTGTTGTTTGATAGCTTGCAAGGAAGAGAAAGAGTTAATTAATGTTTGAAAATAAAATCATAGAGAGTTTAAAGCTATACCTCTTCAACAAACATACAAACATACAAACAAACAAACAAACAATTCTAATTTCATTGTGGGCTTCGTATGAACCTGTTGTGTAAAATAGAATAAGAGGTAGGATCATACCACCTCAAACGATAGATAATGATTGTATACCTTCTCTCCAAATTGAGAATTGTTGGAAGACATAAAGAATAATCTCTTAGAGATTTCTCCATGTTGGCTCAAGAAAAATGCCGCGTGGCATTAATCCTGCTTCGCAGATTTAGAATTCCATTCTCCTTAAGGCAAATTGTAGTTAATCAGATTTTTTCTGAGGATAGTATCAGGGTTTAGTTAGATGTAGGTCCGTACTACCTATGAGCGCAAGCCCTCATAGTTAATTACATCTCTTACTACGTAAGAGAGAACTCTCGATTAAGGATGAACAATTTTTAGTGTTTAGTATCGGTTGTGGGGATGAAGGTAAACTCGATCAAAATCCTATGGTTCCATCGTCTTGGGAATACCATGGATTTTAGTCTACCAATACTAGTGATCTTTAATCGTAGTGTCCAGTTAATCTGATTAACAGTCATGGGTTACCTCCTCTTAGGGATCCCGAGTAAATTAAAGTGATTAGATATGGTTTGTAGCTTCAAAAGGTGGTTTGGGGGTTTACATCTATTAGAATACCCATTAGTTGATTTAGTTTAGGATTTATGACTTCATTTAGAAGTTACTTGGTTAATTAAATTGGTTCGAGGTTTACGATGACAGGAAATACTTGAGTTTGCAAGTAACCCTAATGGGAATACTTGAGTTTGCAAGCAAACCTAACAATATTTGGTAAATCAGTGAGAAAAATAGAAGAATTTGGGTGGAAGCAATAAAAAGTCCGTAGATAAATTTATAGAAATCAAAGCAACGCAAGAACGAAACAAAGATACAATTTTCCTCAATTCGAGAGGACGATCTTTCTCTCCCAATTTCTAGACGAAAAGCCTAGAGCCCAAGACACCAAACAAAACTTCAAGAGAACAATAGTCATGCATCCCTAACCCTAGCCTCTCTCTTCCTTTTAATACATACTTCCTAATACAAAGCCAATAAAAACTTTCCTAGAATAAATCAAATTCAAATCCAATTCAAAAGGATTTCTCTAATTGTTGTCCACCCCCTATCCCTCTCTCTAAATCCCGCCCAAAGTGGTCCCCTCAATCCCCACGGAAGGAGTCGGCTTAGTCCGCCTCCTGTATACGCGAACCGGCCCATGTGGGGCCGGTTTGGGCGGTTCATGCAAAACCGTATCATACAGATTCCGTTGGAAGTAGCCCGATTGTTTTAGAAGTGGGTCTTACGGCTTTCATTGAAAGTAGCTCGTAGATTTTAAAAGTGGGTCTTACGACTTTCATTGAAAGTAGCCCGTAGATTTTAGAAGTGGGCCTTACAGCTTCTATTAGAAGTGGCCCTTATAGCAGGTTTTATAACTTCTTTTCGAAAACGTCTGTCTATTTTGAATAGGTCATAAATCTATTTATGGAATGAGATCCCCTTCCTTTTTTTGCTAAACTAGCAATATAAGGAAGATGGTAAGTTTTTTCAACATGCTCTTGTAAATCTTTCCTTGTTATAGTTGCAAATTCATTGCATGACACATCTTTTATTGCTTCAAATAAAATATCATCTAAATAAATTTTAGTGATAATCATCTCATCTTCAACTATCCTAATAAATAATGTGGTGCGTGCTTTTCCTTTGTTAAATCATAAACCAATAAAAAAGGCGCTCAGCCTTTCACACCATCTGAATCAATTGTTTCATTAAATTTATTACATTCCAGGATACCTTTGCTGCTAACAAATCTCCTTGATTACTCTGCCAAACGCTTCCCTCTCAGGAAAGCTTTGTTTCCTTTAGGTGAGTATCCACCATTCACATTTTATACATGTAATCTTTAATGTGCTTCTTACAGCACCTAAAGTTTTTCGCCATTGAACCGTTCAATCTTTATCTTCGCATCTTTGAACGTCATAGCTTCTTTTCTTTTCTTTTTTTATAGTGACACATTTTTATTGCACAAAAATTATCCTGTCTCACATATTTTTTATTCAAATTTGAGCATAATTTCTCCATCGGATATGCTTGTTGGAGATGAAGGGAAGCCTGTGGCCTCTTATGTTGAAAAGATCATTGATTATTAATCCTTAGGATAGTTGTGGATCTCATTTTGTGAAGGCATATAAATTCGAACTATCGTCTTGAATACTTCAATTTGTGTTGTCAATAGGGGTGCAAATAAGTCAAGTAGAGTTCAAGTTAGGCCTAATTGAAGCTCGACTCGTGATCCAAATAATAAGCTCGAACTTGAGTCGAACTTAAAAGGCAAGCTCGAGCTTGGCTCGTGCCACTGATCACGAGCCTTCCGTAGTCGGCTTGTTGTGTTCCGCGGTTCACACACGCAGCGTGCTTCGCCTTCCGCATTTCGCACGCACAGATGCCTTCCACAGTTCGCTCGCCTTTCGCTTTCCACCAATTCGCCTTCCGCATTTAATCCACCCGATGAGTAATCGAGTCTGAGTATCATCTGGGTTGAACTCAAGCTCGAAATTTTGCTCGAGCTAGAGCTAGAAACTCGATAAGCTCGACTCACTTACACCCCTAATTGTCAACCACCCAACCATTGAAATCCATTTGTTTGATACGGAGGCAACTACCAATGTTCAAGTCTCCCCCAACCACATGGCTGCTCTTAGTCTATACTTAACTAAATGAAGTACAAAAACCCTTCAGCATCATGCAACTATCTCATTTTTTAAAGCTTAAAGATGATATATGTAATAAATTTCTAGAGATTATGATGATAAAATTAGGTGTTGTAACATATTTGTATAACTTTGGTAGAGGCTTTATAAATATAAGGAAAATATAAGAAATGGATTCATTAAATAAAAATTATTTCCAAATCCTAATATTATAAATTGATTTTTTTTAATATCATTTTCATTGAAATTATTTAACATAAAGACAAGAAAAGAGCAAATATTGAGCCCTCTTTATTCGCATGATATTATTTCATTTCTTTGGTAGAATCAAATAAGCATATAAACTCTTATACTTAGGTTTCTTTTAGTACAATTTTTTAAAGTAAATTTATAATAATTTTTTTTTTTTGTTAAAAATAACTCTTTTACTAAAAAATTATTTCCAAATGAAGCTTTAATGAGTTGCAAAATAGTGGAGTCCGGACGAGAAGAATCGTCTGGACTGTGAGTTTACACATCGTGTCTGAACTGCATATAAAAAGTTGATACATTGTGTATAAATGTATATACAGTGTGTATATTCACACGTTCGAACGATTCTTTCCATCTAGACTCTATACGAAATAAGTCTAACGAAATAATTTCTCCTATAATAGCCATTGGCTATTTGGCTGCCTTTTTTTAAAAAAAAAGCACAATCTTTCTCATTATAATAAAAATTGATGCTCATCAATCTAATCACGATTTTGGTGGAGAATATTATCAGTATAATGAAAGCGCAATTGTCGAATAAAAGTCAAGAATTGCAAAAGCCGACTTTTAATGATCAATTAAGCAAAAGTAGGATGAATTATGAGCTGTCCAATGAAGGTATGTCGGCTTATTAGTAATTCTTTAGCTGATAAAATTTTTAATTGTTTTTATAATGATTTTGAAATTGACAATCGTTTTTATTAAATTTGTGCTTTTATATTCAACATTGACCAAAATTATGAGTGATTCATTGATGAGATAATTCAATGTTTTAATTTATTTATGTAGCTCATCTTATTCAGTTAGTTAAAAGCTTTGGCTACTAATAAATAGGTCTTGAATTTGAAGTTTACGTATGTGATATGTGCGTGAGTGTGTCTTAGGCTTCGTTTGTGACAACTTTCTCATTGCTTTCTAAAACTGTTTTTTAGTACAAAAAATTCTAATTCAAGAAAATTTTTAACTAAAATAATATTTTAGAAAGCATTCAGAAAGCTGTCCCAAACGAACCCTTAGATTTCGTTTGGGATAGCTTTCTTATTGCTTTATAAAGCAGCTTTCAAGTTAAAATTTTTCAAATTAAAAAAAAAATTATAATTGAAAGCTGCTTTATAAAGTTCTGAAAAAGCTGTCCCAAATGAAACCTTAATAGCTCAAATGTCCCCATAAAAAAGAATTTATTAATAACTTTAAACCAAGCTAAGACTTCTAAAAGTAGTGAATATGTTATTTTTCATAATAATATTAAATCAAATTTTATTTTGTTATTTACTATTAATATTAAGGGTCTATTTGGGATTTTTTTAAAATTGTTTAAAATTATAATTATTTTTTGTTTTTTTTTATTTATATACATACCACCCTATACTACTCTACTTACATATCTAACACCTAAAACTTTAATATTAAATACATATTACTCATAGTTCACTTTCATATCAAATATGAGTGGTATAAATGAAATATATGGGTGGTAGAAATGAAATATGAGTGATATATTTGATATTAAAATAATATAGGATGATCTGTTTGTAATATTTAAGATGTTTTATATAATTAGATGAATTAATGTGTGATCTTTAAGAAAATTGTTAAAAAAAAGTGTATTTATGATACAAAAGCTTTCAAAAAAAAAAAAATCGCTAAAATAGTTTCATGACATCTTTATAAGAAGCTGCAGCCCAAACATATCATAAATCACAATCAAAGAATATTTTTAGGCACCTAACAAATGTATTTATTATTCACAATTAACATTAGTTTATTGCACACATATTTTATTGTAAAAATGTAAAGCTTTTTATTAGTAACTTATTAATCTTATTACTGTTACGCGCTCTAAAATAGCAGAAATTATTGTGTATGCAATCCGAACGCTTCGGATGCTGCGTATTTGCTGCTTATTTTGCTGCGTATTTTTTTATACATAATTTTTTCTATGTATTTTTGCATATTTATTGTGTATTTAGTGAGTATTATTTATTTGCTAATTATTTGTCATGAAAAAATTATTTATCAAAAAATACGCAACAAAATAAGCAGCAAATACGCAGCATTCGAAGCGTTCGGATTGCGTACGCAATAATTTCTCCTAAAAATAGTAACTCTACTCACACGTATGAGAGACAGTTGTCGTTTTTTCCATAATATCCATTTCTGCTGCTGAATTCTTTGGGTTTTAACTAAATTTTAATGTTAATATAAAACGTCTATTTCACAAAATAATAATTTAGAAATTAGTAGGGCAGATCTTTTGAGGCTTGAATTAAAAAAAAAAAAACTGCTAGGCCAGCTCAACATAGTTTATTTATTTATCTTTTTAAATTAAAATAAACAAATAAATATAACATTTTAAGAATACATTTGATATGTCACATAAAATTATTTTGATCAGGTTTGAATCTCGAGGAATATTTGAATTAAAAAAAATTCAATATGCAAAACGAGATCCTTTGCACTCTAATTTTAACAAACTTATAGAAACTAAACGTCTCAATGAGATGAACATAACGACATCAAAATAAGGTTTGATTCGGACCAAAATGAGCTCAAATCAAGTGCTAAAAGCATATTTGGGAGCTCCAAAATATTAATTGAATGGCTAAATGATATCAAAATATGGTATGCTTATAGTAGAATCGAGTGGCTCGCTAGACAAATCCAACAAGCTCAATATCGCTTTATTCTAACATCGTTAAGGCACTTAAATGATGAACAAATATTATATGATCGAGAGAATCAATATAGGCCGTCTGATGGAGCACTCTGAATTTATCCAGAATTTTTTCCATACTTACAAGGCATATCACTCTCAAAATCTATAAATAGACTCCAGTTTTCCACATGAGATGGAGCTTAAACTTTTAGAGGCTTAGACCCTAGGCTAAAGACTTGATAGAGCTTTGAGACTTGAAGTATCCCAGAGCTTCACCCGGGCACAACGGCAGATGAACTCATGCCACTAGGCCACTGCTGCCAGACCTTTACCCGATTATCGTCGTTGGCCGACAACAGTCCCTCCAACCATTATCATTGACTACGACCCCTCTTAACCTTTGGGCTCTGTCACCAGACAATAGTCCTCTTGATTTCAGCTATCCAACTATGGTCCTTCCAAACCTCTGTCGCCCGACTACGGTCTCTTATGCCATTATAACCCATCGATTATGATCCCTCCGACAATTGTTGTGCGTCGACTACGATCCCTCCAATTACCATTGCCCGCAAACTATTGTCCCTCTAACCTCTGTCACCCACCAACTACAGTTGAAGGATTATAGTCGGCACGAGAGGCTAAATGG